ACTGAACCAAGCGAAGATGTCGCTAGATGTCCTGTTTTCACTGGTGAGCTTCTCTCGCATCGGTGGAGCTTGCGAACTCAGGTGGGCTCCCCTTTGTGAAAGAACTCCTGACCTTCTCCCAAGTATTAGTTTGAACAACCGGTGCTGGTAACGGTGCCGGCTGTACCTGAGGCTGATTCTGAAGTGTAGCGGTTATCCCAACTTCTATAGCCCGAACGATGAGGTCGTTGATGTGAGGAGGATACTCTGAATCTACTCCCTGATCCCGAGTTTGTTGAACTGCCTCCTGTAACTGACCATCATTATCCTGAAACCCAAGCCTTTGCTGCTCTTCCTCCATTTGCTGACGCCGTAGGAGATATTATTGCCTACGTGCCGCTCTCCTTTCCTTCCTAGTTCCTTGCATGTTCTGTCCGTTTCTAGCGTTAACCATCTGCTAACACGGAAAGACAAACATCAGTATCATTTCTAAATGAACCGTAAGGAATACAATGAATCATAAACTTAAGCTCTAATCAATAAAAAACGCTACGCGGATGTCTTAATACGAAATATCCTAGAGACACTTGAACCTGGAGTGCTCTGATACCAACTGTGATACCCCTCGGATCACAAACCCAAGGGAATATCAAACAATTAATATTTTAAAACGAACACAGATGACAAAATAAATTTAATAAATAAAAGTTTAAAAGCTGAATAGAATACTAAAACATAATCCTTAAAATTAAATACATAAAATCCCAAATAATAAGGTTATAATAATCTAACTCAAAAACCTCCAAGGGTACAACTCGGGAATCCATCCAGTGGACCCCTAATAAGAAAACCAAACTGAAATAAAACCAGAAGAAATCCATAATTAAATCATGGAGAGAGATCCTACGTCGTCGGAAGAATGAGTGACCGTCTCTGCTCAACACGAACAAGCTCAAGCCTGGAACTAACGTACACCTGAAAAATAGGGATGAGTCAGGCCCACGAACAAGTTCTATCCTACTACAATCCAAGCAGAGACTTGATACGCATATACATTCTAACCAACTCAACAATAACTAAATAATTCGTAGATATATATATATATATATATATATATATATATATATATATATATATATTCACACTACAGGACTTTCACTAGACTACAGGCCCATCACAACCTGACTAGTAGGCACCATGCAAAGTGCACCTGAGGTGGGCATGACTACCTAGACCTAGCAGGGTACACATCAAACCATCATAGCCAACTATGCATCACAATGCATATACGCTCCCTTACCAACGACTCTGAGACTCAGGCTCATATTGTGGCACCATAAAAATATACTTAAATTCCATTCCAAAACAAAATGTCACTCAACTATTTAGTGATCTGACACAAAATACAGGTAGGACTTAACTTTTATAATTAATCCATCCCTTAATCCAGAGTAGGTAGGACTTAGCGTTTTTGAGCTAATCCCCCTAGTATGTCACCATCCCATACCGGCGCATACAATCCATCCATCCAGTGTTGATAATAAAAATGACAGTAAACATTTCCAATACCAATATATCCAATATAAGTATAACAAGAAGGTATAAATAACATACTTGTTCAATACTACCAGTATATGATTCTCTATAATTTAAAACGCAGAGATATAACTACAACCATTCTGTAACCCACAATAAGCATAAATAGAAATATAGACTAACATGCTTACTCCAGTAACTGATAAGTCTAATTAATAAGACATATCAATTAATCCCATGATGAACATAAAATAAATAGATAAGCTATCATGTTCATCCCATATCTCCGTTCCAATTATCTTACCCTGAGCATGCAGGTAATTTGTCTCCTCATCCATATATCCATGATAAGTATAATAAAACCATATTAATTATCATGCTTGTCCACTATTAATAACATCAAATAAAACAAATTTCCATTCCTAGAGAATGATTAAATAAAGGTTCAATTATTTAAACTTCCTCTGCACTGAAGTAAAACAATTTCTGTCGAGACTAACCACTGTTCAAGCTATTCTCTGGAGTGTTAACAAGACTTAGAACATCTCTAAACACCCAAATATAGCTTCCACTGAAAATCCTAAAATCCAAGCACCACAGCCCAAACAGTCGCCCAAAAACCCAGAAAACTGAAGACTTGAGGAGAACCTGCTCCAAACCAGTTGGAGCCGCCTCCAACCAAGATGGAGCCGCCTCCAAACCACTTGGAGCCGCCTCCAAAGCACTTTGAGCCGGCTCCAAAACACTTTGGAGCCACCTCCAAAACACTTTGGAGCCGCCTCCTTCATCCTCTCCCCCTATCTGCTTATTCTCTTCAACTATATCTTCTCCGGTGACGTCTAGTTTGATCAACCCTCAACTCTAATGATTTTACTGAATAAAACTAAGTTCCAATGTCCCAGATATTGTAAAAAAAAACATTAATCCTAGATCCACTCTAATTAGAACATAGTTCCACAAGAAAGAATTAAAATAAAAATAAAAAATAAAAAAATGAAACATATAAACATATACCGTTACAGACGAACATAAACATGCAAACCAGATTAATACCTTCCAGTGTTACAAACTGATTTAACTCTGTTTATATCAATTCACATTCATTATACATCCAGTTCTGTGAATTACTTTATGAGTTAAACACGAAAGATCATAAAGCAAACAGTATAACTCATGGCTACGTTCAGTTTTAAAACAACAGAGACATGCAAACTAGTTTACTTTTAATCCTTATACATTCCTGGAATTGTGTTAAATATGCAAAGAACATGAGCCAAAGGGAGAGAGTTAGGAATAGAACTTGCCTGTGAATTTTCAGTTCAAAACCTCAACGTCGTCTTCGTAAGTTTCTCCGGCGAACTACGGTAATCCTCATCTGTTCCTTCTCTGCCTCCACTATCGTGAATAGGGTTTTTCTAAAAACCCTAAGCAGAACTTATTACGTATATTTATAAGTTTATACAAAACCTAAACTCAATCCAAACCCTACAATGAATCCTAGCCGGCCCATAGAAAATCCTAATTAAAATCTACGTCGGCTACCAAGACTTGACTTCTAAAACAAAACCCTAAATTAAACGTTAACTAAACATTAATGTAAAGCATTTAAAAGAATTAAAAATTAAAATACAAAAATACAATTTACTAAACAATTAAATAAATTAAAACACCATAGTTCAAACAAGTCACAATTAAGTCAAATATCAAGCAAATAAACAATTAAATAATTAACCATTAAAAATTACAATTAAATAATTAATGAAATTCCAGGACTATCCTTTATAAAATTAGAGGTATTACATTGGTCCTAAAGTACCATCTCTCAGTGGAATCGATGCCCTTATGTACCTTACAAATTGCATTAGATCTGATATAGCATTTGCAATAAATTTATTAGCTTGCTATAATCTGCGCCAACTCGGAGACATTGGAATAAGATTAAGAATGTTATGTGTTACCTTTATGGAACAACTGATATAAAATTGTTTTATTCAAAAAGATTAAAGCCCTTGTTAATTGGGTACACAGACACAAGTTATCTTTTCACCCATATAAATGCTCGATCGCAAACAGAATACGTGTTTACTTACGGTAACATCGTTATATCATGGCGATCTATGAAGTAGACAACGACTGCAACTTAATCAAATCACTCTAAAATATTTTCAATTCATGACGCAAGCCGAGAGTGCATTTGTTTGAGATCTATGGTATAACATATTCAAGAATCATGTGGGCTCTCTTCAATCAAAGATAGCCCAATAGTAATATATGAAGATAATGATGTGTGTGCATTACACAGATAAAAGGAGGTTACATCAAAGGCGACTGCACCAAACACATTTCACCAAAATTATTTTTTACACACGAGCTCCAAAAGAATCATTATATTGACTTTCAATAGATATGTTCGAGTGATAATTTAATAGATTTATTCACTAAAGCACTTTTAATCACAACATTCAAAAAGTTGGTGTATAATATTGGGATGCGTCGACTTAATGATCTTTAATGCTGAATGATGGGGAGCAATTGAATTGAAAAGGTTTGGAAGGACTGTTTGTAATGGGCTTGTCAGTCTCTACTATTGAGGCATTGTTTTGATTTATACTTTTCATTGTTTTTCTCAGTTCCTTTACCATCCATGGTTCGGTTTTACTAAAGGACTTATGTTCCTCATATATCTCTGTATTTCTTGTTGAGGTTTCGGGTATGCCCTGAACTCTCTTTCTTCTTTTTTTGTGATCTTTGAGGAAGATCACTCTCCTTGTACTATATTGTCTATATTTTTTAAATTTTCCACATCTAGGAAAAAAAATAAATAAATTGAAAAGATATTGCCATACTGTATTATTTTTTATTCGCTAAGGCTTTTTCCTATTGGATTTACCTGATAAGGTTTTGATAAGGTTTTAATAAAGTAGTTTTAACAATGCAATACTATTTTCAAATATACAAAAATATTGTATTTTTCTTTTTTCGTTAAGTTTTTATCCATTATCCAATTGAGTGCATTTGATAAAGTAATTTGAATATCACTAAAAAAAGATAAGTGCAATTTAAAATAAGATAAAAATTTAAGTTTCACGCTTAAAAATTTCACTACTTATTTTTCAGTTTTAAACAGAAGTCAAAAGAGAAATAGTATGGTTTGTGTGTGTATAGACGTGAATTGTGAACAAGAATTGAGGAAAAAGAATTGTGAACTGTAAGTAAAATGCTGCCTATAAGTAAGCATGTATTTTTAATTTTTTTTTTTTAAAGATTAAACAGACTCACATCTACGCCCAAACTCGAATCCGATCACCCCATTTGAAATGAAAAAGTCCCGTAAAACTCCAATAGAAGAAAATCCATTGTGTCCTATATTTCCTGTTCAGTATTTTGTCCTATAACAAATCTATTAATTTAAAATCTAATTGGAATATATATATATATATTTTCATTCTCATTTTAATTATTCACGGCTGCTTTCCTATAGTTTTATAACATTCATTTAGTTTTAATTTTTATTCATATTCTCTTTAGCCTGAGCCTCCCCCAATGCGCAATAGAGAGGAATCAAACAAAACAGAAACCAAACACACACTGTTGGAACCACAAAATGCAAAAAGTTCAAACGAACAAAAACTCAGTTGATGTTTGAACACGTTGTTAGCTTGTTGTGATGGCAATGGAATCAAAATCCATAGCCAACGACACTCGTCTCTGCTGCCATCACAGAAATTTGTCTACACGCTCTTCGATTTTTCAGACACCAAATGCATTTTCTTCGATCCGTAAGTATATTAATCAAATTATTATTTTTATTCGTCTTCTTAATCTTTTGGGTTATTGCTTGGTTTCTATTAGGTCTTTGAATTCTAACAAATTCAAATTGTTCGAGTTTATTTCTTGGAGTTTCACTAGGGTTTTCCATTGGTTGTTGAGTATGATTTTTTTATTTTTTATTTTTTTCTTTTCAATCATTGTTTTATTTATTTATTTTTCCAGAAAGATCTCTTGGATCCATGGAGAAGAAGTTCAAGGAGAGACTTTGATTTTCTGGAAACAAAATCTATAAAGTTGGATTTTCTGATTTTTGAGTTCTTTTCTTTGCCATCTTTTTCTGGTTTCTCAATTTCAATTCTACACCATTAGAGAAACCAATGTAGTTATGAACTTCTTTTTGAGTTGATTATAAAATGGCATTAACAGTGCTGAGATTAGTGAACTTGAAACAGACCTAATGTTGGTATTATTTTGCACAAAATAACTGTTCTCACGATTGTCAGCCCAAGTGTTAACAATTGAGTTGATTATATACTATTTATTTCTTCTCTCTATTTGCTGGAATGTAGATTGCAGAATTAAGTCCGTCTATTGTTGGGTTATTTCAGGTTTGCTGGACTTCTCTTCCTAGTGCCTGCTTGTAGGCTTCTAACAGTTTCTTAATGGCAGACTCTAGCTCGGTCGACCTCATCCTAGACTTTCTGCAAAGGAACAAATTTACAAGGGCTGAGGCTGCTTTGCGCAGCGAGCTCAGTAACCACCCTGATACAAATGGATTCATTCGAAAACTTACCGTTGAAGAAAAGGACTCAGTGAAGTTGTTGAGAGAAGAGGATGGTGACAAAACAGATGTGGAAAACCAAGGAACAAGCTCTCAGAACAGTGAAGTTTCTAGGGAACTTATTGTTACAGAGATTGGGTGTGGGACTGTGAGAAATGGGTCCAAGACCAATTGGAAAAGTGCTGGCCCTTTTGCAGACAGAAATAAACTTATTGAATCTGTCGGTACAACCGAGAAGCACCTTGCTTTCTCTAAAGATTTAGAGGATAGTGTGATTGATTTGTGTTTATGGAAGTTAAATCCCAGCAATGGGCTGGTTGATCCTTGCCAGATTGATAGTGACACTATTACAAACAACTTTTCAGAGTTTCAGGTTTCTGAACAGCTAAGGGTTCATTCCCCTGATTCTTCTGATAAGGGTAAAGCCAAAGTGAAATCCAGAGAAGAAACAAAATTTTCTGCTGAAAAGAGAACATCATGGCTTGGGACTGACGTTAAAGCCAATGTGGAATGTAAGCATGAGAGGAATGAAATTAGTGAGCTTAAAGAACTTGATCAGCAACATAAGATTAGTGGTACCCACTCTAAAGACGATTTTGTGGATAAACCTTGGTCAAGGACTGATGCACCGGCACATTCATCATCGGACCTTTGGGAAGATTGTTCGGTCAAAACCATCTTCCCATTTTCCAAAGGAAATATGTCAACTACTTATGATACTGCTTGTGGGTCTGGTGATAAAAAAGAAGGAAAGAGAAAAACTGAGACCAGTGACAATACGGCAGCAAGCAAAGAGCAAGTGGATCATGTGGGAAGACCTTTGTACTTTGGAAACACTCTAGGGAGTTATGAGTGTAACCGTACCAGCAGTTTAGAATTTCCAGTTGTATCTGAGAATCAGAAAGAAGACTTACCTAGGTTGGCACGTGTTAAACTCAAGTTGGAGGACAAATCAATAAATATTAATTGGGATGAAAAACTTGAGCATGATGGATCTGGTTTGAAGCTTACTAATGCTGACAATACCTTTCTTATGGGGTCATTTTTGGATGTTCCTGTCGGACAAGAAATCAACTCTGAAGGTTTGTCTGCATGATAATTATCTCTTTACATGATTATTGTCCACTCAAAAGGATTCTCAATTTGTATTCTAAACTAGCAAGCACAGCAATCTGTATATCACATGGAATCCAGTAATTCTAGTCATTGCATATTGTTGACCATTCATTTGATTTTTCGTTTTTAGCTTTTAGTGATTGTAAGGTACCCCCATCTTGTTTCTGTTCTTGATCTGTCTTTTCTGGTATCTAGTTTCTGGTATTCTTCTGTCTTTCATGAAGGCATATGTATAACTTTTGTTATTTTCTTGAGATAGTTATGCATGTTCACCTTTTAATTTATCTTCTCATCATATTTCCTCTTCTCTCTGCACACAGGGACGGAGCCACTGCCAGCTGCCCCCACTCATTTTTTTTTTTTTTTTTAAATTTGATTTTATATACACATCTTTTCATAGTTCTAAAACCACCCTTTCTTAAACTTGTCAAAAACATAAACTGCCCCACTCAATTTTTTTATTTAATATATTTTTTTATTTTGTGTACAGATCTTTTCGTAATTCTAAAATCGCCCCTTCTTATAATTATCGAAAACCCTTTTATTGTAACACCCTTTCTCAAAATACACCCATCTACCTAGTCTTTTTCTTTGATTTCTGAATCTCTCTCTTCTTTTTATAGTTAAGCTACATCACAACCAAACTCAAACACACATACCCTAAGGGGACTTGAACCCTCGCTTTCACTTGAAAACAGAAGAAGATACAACTTGGGCCAAATACTTAGTGGCAACTCTATGTTCCTTTGAAGAAAGAAACGTGACGGGAGAGGAATTTAAAAAACTCTCTTTCATTTCATATCTTAACACTCAATCAGAACACAAGAATCCAAATCCCCTTTCTTCAAGGAGTGAGGTTATCATGCAATGTTTTGAAAACGTGAAAATTTATCGAGTACAATTGTAAATGCACTGAATGAAAAAGTGCTAGTCATTATTTAAGGTTTTTTTTTTTCTATTTTTTTATTTTATTTTTTATTTTTTTATTTTTAAGTTAATTTTTTTTCCCTCTTATTAGTGTCCAATGTTGCCCCTACTAAAACAAATTCTTGGCTCCTTCACTGACTGCACATGACCCATTTATATGGTGGTGTATGATTCATCATCTATTGATGTGAAGTGAATTATTTCTCTTGACACCTAGTATTAAGACAATCTCTATATAATTAGGTATTAAGAGCTTCTTGGGTGAGGTTGTAACTGGCGTTAGTGCGAATATGTGGTGTGGCAGTGTGGGTCAGTGGTTAGTTTACAAGTCAATTAGTTCAGTTGGAACCTTTCATTCCATCTCATATCTTTTTAAAAATGTCTTACATTGCTTCTGCATTCTTCATCAATAGAGTGGTCTGGAATGTAGGAAATGAGAAAAAAAAAAAAAAAAAAAACACTTGGTAATGAAGTTGTCATCTTTTGGTTTATAAAAACAATTGTTCGGTTTGGTCATTAATGATGACTTCCAGTAATTTCAAGTAAAAAAATGAGAAAGATATTTTCAAGCCAATTTCAAAGTAAAGAAGATGAAAACTTCAAGAGATTTCAGTACTCTTATCTGGTTGAAAATTCTGCAATGTGTTTGAGATAGAAAGTTCAAAAACAAAAGCCACAAACCTTAGCCACAATTTCAAAAAGCAAAATTCCAAATAGTTATGTTGTTACAGATGAAATAAAAATTGAATACATTGCCAAAAGTGAGATTCTACAGAGGCATCATGACAATTCTGAACAAGTCAAGGATCAATTAATGAACCCCAATCAATCTGTTCCTTAGCCGTGTTTCAGAGGCTCTCTCTCTTAGCTGAATAGTGAAAGATTGTCAAAGCATCTGTTTCGGTTGTTTTGAAGAAGGGCAATAATATTTCGGCCTTGTAAGAGACTCTTTGAGCAAAGCCTGCAGCGCTAGTTACCCGCTTGCCAGCTGCTTGCACTGGCTTGGCACCAAAGGCTATCTCGATCTCCACTGCAACTCCACGGGAGCTCTGCTCCTCGAAGCCCAGTCCAAAGCTAAAATCCACCACTTAAGTGACTTCTGTCCAACTCCACATATCAGAGCTCTTGCACCATCTGTAGACTATAGCTTGCCAATTCACAAACACACCAAGTTCAGCTGCGGTGGCATTAGTATTGGTTTGGGGATATCCCATGCTGTGATTGAGTGCATTTCACTTTCTTGTCAAGTGGGAAAAATTGCTCGCAGCGAGAGAGAATTTGCAGAGTAACAGAGAGGGAAGAGAGAGAGAGAGAGAGAGAGAAGAGAGAGATAGAGTAGAGAGGTACACAGAGAGAGAGATAGCCGGTCAAAGTTTTTTTTTTTTTTTTTTGATAAATAAGAGTATATTAGAAAGTGTTCAAAAGGGGAATGCATCCCGGGCACTGTACAAGGCCGAAGCCAAAGAAAGGGTCATATGGAGGGTGGCTCCCTCATGTATTGGTGGTGCTTATGGAGGGAGCGGAATAGGTGATCCTTTGATGGGGAGGAGACTCCTATTGGAACATTGAAATTCTATATTATTAGCTCTCTTTTTTGTTGGGTTCGTGAGGGAAATTGTAAATCTTTAGGGGACTTAGTTGATTTTTTGGGTTCATTGAACATTTAAAACCCTATTTGGTCCTTGTGTAGCTTCTCTGGGATGGGTTTCCCCTTTGAACTCTTTCTAATTCAATCTTACTTATCAAAAAATATATATATATCTGCAACTAAAGAGGGAGGCATTTTTGGAACACCGTTAGGGTATTTTGGAGATTTTGCTTCCATTTTTGGTCACAGGACATGTACATGGTGTACTTATTTTATGCAATTTACCCTATGTTAGTATTTAAGGAATATGTTATGAAAACTGAAGCTTAAACCAGTCCATGTTTCCTGATCATGTTGCAGTTGAAAAATGTAAACAAATAATGTTCTTTTTCATTTTCTATTCTTTTATATATTCGTTTGTGTGTGATATTCTTGTGCATCTAATATGTACATAACGAATAACACTTTATTAAGTTTTAGCAGGACGCGGCTTGTGAGAAGGGTAAAAGTACATGTTTGGTAATCATAATAGCCTTAATAGGTGCTTGGCTGCTTACGGTGGTGAATTTTTATAACTTAAGTTTTAGCAGGATGCAACTTGTACAAGGAATGTGATTGATTTGTGAAACAAAAGCATGCAAAAACATCGCTTCTTGAGACAAGTTGGATTCCTTCCAGAAAGGTTACAAATTTGTAGAATCTCAGTTCTGTATTTGGTGCTAGAATTTATGTTTAATCCGTTTCTTGATTTCTTGTTTTCCGTAGGATTTTTCATTTATATATTCACGTTTTCCCTTCTCATATGTAGTAGTCAGCATTAATTTCTGAAATATTTATCTAGGTGGAAGAAGGACTGGAGGAGGCAGTTGGCTATCTGTAAGTCAGGGGATTGTGGAGGACACTTCTGATCTTGTTTCTGGTTTTGCAACTATTGGTGATGGATTGAGTGAATCTGTTGAATATCTGAATGAGTATTGGGACTCTGATGAATATGATGATGACGATGATGTTGGCTACATGAGACAACCTATTGAAGATGAGACCTGGTTTCTGGCTCATGAAATTGATTATCCAAGTGACAATGAGAAGGGAACAGGGAATGGGAGTGTTCCGGACCTCCAAGAAAGATGTCCAACCAAAGATGAGGATAATGATCAATCATTTGCTGAGGAGGATTCTTACTTTTCTGGGGAACGACACTTCCAGTCCAAAAATGTCAATCCAGTTGCAGCTTCAGATGAGTCAGTGAACAAAATATATAGGAGAACTAATGAAAATAATTTGATAGCTCAGTCTAATGGAAAGTTGATCAATGAAGAGGAACTGAATTCGATGCGTGCGGAGCCTGTCTGGCATGGCTTTGTCTCTCAGACAGATGAACTAATCATGCTAGGAGATGGGAAAGTTCTGAATGAGTGTCGAAGGCCTCAACTTGATGATGTTTATGTGGATGATGATCAGCATGGTTCAGTTAGATCTATTGGTGTGGGTATCAACAGTGACGCTGCTGATATTGGCAGCGAAGTGCGGGAAAGTTTGGTTGGAGGTGGTAGTGTGGGAGACTTGGAGTACTTTCATGATAATGATGTTGGTATTGTTGGGTCCAGGCATTCAAATTATGACTCAGATAAGAAATATTATGACATGTCAAACATGGATAGAAAGAGAACAAAGAAACATGATTCTGATAAGTATGTAGCGGGGAATGATAAAGATGCACATACACAGTCAAAAGATCACACAGATGGTGGATTTTTGTTTCCCCCTCCTAGAGATGGGCAATTGGTGCAGACAGGTTCTGATAATTCTTTATGTTCAAATAAGTGCAATGCTGTTTTCAGAAAGGAAACAGGTGATTGTTTGAATACTTTGATGGAAACTGATGACATGGTTTCTTCATGGAGGCGGAAAAGCAGTGACTATTCACTGGTCCAATGTTCAAGGGATGAAAACAATGCCGATGCTGTTGGATCAGCAAATTCTAACCTTTCACTTACAAATTATGGTTATGCTGAAAGCGATCATGTCAAGAAAAAAGAGGTTGAAAAAAGTGTTGGTGCAAGAGAAGAAAATCCAGGGGTATTGCTGGAGGATGAAGAAGCAGCTGCTGTGCAAGAGCAAATAAAGCAGATAAAGGCTCAGGAGGAGGAATTTGAAACCTTCGATCTTAAGATTGTGCATAGGAAAAACAGGCACGAATTCTTTAATCTATAGACATTTGAATTATGAAATAATTACTGCTCATCATTTGCTGAGGAATTTTTATATTGGGCTTAGAACTTCTACCTTTTGCAAGATTCAAAAACCACCTGCATAAATGTACAAAATAGTTTGCCAGGACTTCCGAAGTTGCGATCTTAGTTTCTTTTTGTTTGTAAACATGGTAAATTTACACCAAAATACTATAAACTCAAAGATGCTAATTGTTTTATAGTGGACAAATTTTCATATTGCACTTGGGGTGGCTGCCACTTAAAAAAAATCATGTTTTTATCTACTGAAAATTAGTTTGTGAGGGCTTCTAAAATTGTGAACTTTATTCCATTTTTTTCCTTTTAAATGTAATTATTGCTTCATTCAATGGTAAAAACTCTGGCTGTTAAATGTGATAAAGCTTAGGAAGCCACATTTTGTTGAAAAATCTGGAGAGTAGGTTTATCCTTTATACACAATTCACTGCTCACAACACCATGAAAACCATCCTGGTAGTGGCTAAGAAATTTATATATGCATAAAGTCATTAACATTTTTTGGTAGGTAAGATGCACACCTAACTCTCTCACACACACACATTTGCCTTGCTGCTTGCTACTCATATTTCTCAGCCATCGACTCAAATCTGACTCCAACCCTATTGTCATCTTGTTCAGTTACTGCCTCAAATATCAACAATTTACTTATAAATATAAACCCAAACCAACAAAGCCTTTTCACAACTATTTGGGATCGGCTACATGAAGTTTGTTTCACCATTCCCTCTATTTAAGTCACCGTCTCAGTTAAACCACATGCTATCATATCTTTCCTAATAAGCTCAATCCATGCAGTTTTTGTCTTTCACATTACCTATCGTTAATAAGGACCACGCCACCTAGTCTAACTGGTGCACTTATTTGCCGTTGCTGCATATGGCCAAACCATCTTAATCAATTCTCTCTTATTTTATCTCACAAAATATGTTCTTTCTAATTTTATCCTTTGACTTGCCACACATCTATCTCGACATTTGCATTTCTGGCACTCGTTCTACAAATAATTTTTTTTAGCTGTTGTTCCGTTAAGGGTTGGTCTAATAACAGTTTTATAAAAATTTACTTTTCAATTTTATGGGTATATGCTGATCAATATAAAGATGTCAGAAGCACTCTTCCATTTCAGCTGTGTTGCTTAAATTCTATGATTGACATTGTCCTCAATTTGTCTCTCTATGTGCATAATTGTGCCCCGGAAACAAAAATATGTGTTTTTTGGTACCTCTTGACCCTTGATCTTCACTACATCCTAATTTTTATATCTAGTTATCCTAAAGTTACACTTCGTACATTCAATTTTACTGCTACCTAACTTAAACCATCTTGAATCTAGAGTTTCTGTCCAAATCTTTAGTTTTTCAAAACAATGTCATCAGCAATAAGCAGATACTAAGGGATCTCATCTTAAATGTGTTTTTGTAGTTGATTAATAGTTAAGGCAAAGGGTAAACCTACAATAATTGAGAATTCACTTGTTTCTTCTACAATTTATACTATAGTCACTGTTTCACAATACATGTCTTTTAGCACATCATTATATATCTAAAACCCACCATTTTATGTAACGTGGGACCATTGTAGGCTTTCATTAAATCTCTATAAACTAGTGTAGATCTTTCTTTTTTTCTTCGTGCCTTTCTATTAGTCTTCTCAATAAATAGATAGCTTCCCTTGTGACCTTGTCAACATAAATTCAATTTTATTGTCCAACACCCTGGTTTCATGCCTTAGTCATTGTACAGCAACTCTCCGCAAAGGTTAATAAGATGACTCATTAATTTGATACCACGATAAGTTGGTAACTTTGAATATCCCCTCTATTTTTTTATGGGTACTAAAATACTTTAAAGTAATTCATAGCGCATTTTAAATTTAAATCATTTTTTAACTCATTAAGCATTTTTGGTCTCTTTGAGAGTTTAGAGGCCCTATTAGGCCTTGTGTATCTTCTAAGGGATGCGTTCCCCTTTTGACCGCTTCTTTTATACAAATTTTAGTTATCAAAAAAAAAAAAAAAAAAAAAAAATCATTATTATTTTATTTAACAGTTTTGTTAGCCAAAATACACCATCATCACCTAAACCCTTCCAAGCTGCATTCCGAATACTATAAGGTTCTAAAGCCCCCCCTTTTTTTTCATCTTATTCAGTGCCTTTTTCACCTTTCATATGCTGATCCAGCTATAAGTTTTCTCTAATCTCCCAGGGTAACCGTATTTTGCGAAACCTACTCTTCCTATATGATTTTCATTCAACAGCGCTTCACTTTTGTAGGTTTTCTTTCTTTCTCTAATTTCATCATCATTCACTAAAACCTTTACATTCTTACTCCTTAGCTTTCTTTCTTTCTCTAATTTCATTATCGTTCACTAAAACCTTTACATTATTATTTATTTATTTATTTTGGTAATTTTTAAATTCTTACTGTTGATGCACTTAATATCGTTAAATCTCTAGCCTTATCTCTTTACACAGCCGGTCTCAAAACTGGAAAAAGGAGAATGAACATAAGTAGCTTGATAGCTAATGTAAGACTTTCGTCATTTCTATAGGAACATTAATTTACTTAAAAACAGAGTTTAGCTAATTAGTAAGACTTATTTTTGATAAGATTTCATTAAAGGCGCTCAAGAGGGGAGTGCTTCCAAGAGAATACACAAAAAGCTGAGTTTAGCTAATCAGTAAGATCAAACCACAAATCAATTGACTTCAATTTAAAATAAGATTAATTTGATTTTAGAATGGACTTCTGATTTCATTTGTGAGGTCTTCTCGATTTATTGATTAATCAGACTTTTGGTTATGCGATTGGCAAAGAGAAAATAACATTGCCTGCTGCTGCTGCTACCAATGCAGGGTACTGGGATTGATATTGATCTTGGCGTTGAGTGTAAATTGGCTGCTCTCGTCGTTGGACTAGAAGTCATGTCATATTAGGAGATTCTTCTCTCTCAAATACTGATCAGTTACTATGATTCACTGTAATAATATCATCAGTTGGTAAAGTAATTGAATGGTGACAATTATTGTGCTAAAAGAGTAATTAGCAGGACTCATTGGATTTTCCTTGTTTAAGCTGATAATAGCTAATCAATCTTTTTTCTTCTCTTAAAATTTGAAGATGGGATTTTGGAAGATTGCGAGTAGTTTGGTCTCTCTTTTAGATTCTTAGAAGCAAATTGAATTTCAATTCTAGGATGTGTTTTAGAGAGGTTCTTTATTTATCATTTGGTATAAGAATTCATTTTCCCAGAGGAAAATTGTGATGTGTGGTTATTGGGGGCAAGCTTGGTGAGCTTGTGGTATACTACAAAAGTTGGATATGATTCTAGGTTGGCCTTGATGATGTTTCATTGGAATGTCAGCATCTGAAGGTTTTGTTTTTCCCTACCTTTTGTTTTTCTTACTTTAATAAATTATAAAATTTGCTTAAATAAAAAAAGTTCATTCTGTAAGTGGCAGAAACTACCTCATAAGTTCAACTTCCCTTAGTATAAATTTGGTTCTTGGAGTGCCTCCAGTATATGCTTGAGACTTGCTTCCAATCAGTGGTGGAGCCAGAATATTTCTTCAGTTGGGTCGACCCTGAATAATAGTATGATTAAATATTTTTTTTGAATCAAATAATGAATACAAATATATAAATGTCAAATACCATATAGCATTGATAAAGTGGTTATCGTATGGAGATTTCAGAACATAAAAATTCATTGAATATGAAATATGTAATATCAAATATGAAATTGTTATGGTACTTGTTGTGGTAAAGAGAACTAAAAGAAAAAGTCTAGAAAAGAAAACAAGCCATTAGAAACCTAGTTGCTAAGGTGATATTTTATAAAACTAAAAATTAATACTTAAAATTTTTTCATGGTAAGATTAATACTTAAAATTTTAAGAGCTGAATTTTTAAACATTTAAGTTATAAATGCTATCTAGAATTTTCTTTATACTAAGTGTTTAGTGCTTAAAAATAAGCAAAGTCTCAATCACTTAAATTTGAAAAGAAATTTATTTATTTTTAAGTGGTAATAAATTGTGTTATAAAATGTACTTAATCAAATAATATTTAACTTATTCAAACTTGAGTGAGGAATTGAGTTATTAGACAACACCTAAGTTGCATCCTTTTTTTTATTTTGCTTCCGTCTTTGCCTTAAGATTTTCTATTGGGGCATCTTTACCAGTACCAAAAAATATTCATGCAACGTTAAAAGAAGAAAAGAGTTGAGTTGGCGCAGCTGGCCCATGGTACATGGACTCACATACGTGTGTCGGGTACGGGTACGTATCCATGCGTCGGACGTGTCAGATTACCAAATAGAAGCCACATGGACACTGCTAAATATTTATTTTATTTTCTAGAGTAAAGTAATGTTTTAATGTAAGGTAGAGTTCAATATTGACATTTAACTCATTTTAAAGTAATAATAAAATTGAATGAATGGATATGCTTTTTAAGTACATGTCTAACGAAAAGCGTCTGACACACATCTCATACCCATGTCCAAGCAATATGTGTCTGACACGGGGACATTTACTACATTTGAAGAGTCCATGTAACATAGCAGCTACCTCAACTGGACTCAACGTGGCTCTGCCACTGCTTCCAAAAGAAAGCTCCTAGTTTCAGCTTCTCTTCTCCTCTGATTTTTCTGTTGGAAACTTAAGCTTGCTTTGTTGCCTGAGCTTCTGTTTGTTGTTCAGAACTGGCTTTGAGGAGGACAAGAATTTCCATGTTGTTTTAAATTCAGTCATAGCTGGGCGCTATCATGTTACCGAGTATCTTGGATCAGCTGCATTCAGCAAAGCAATTCAAGCACATGATCTTCATACTGGCATGGATGTGTGTGTGAAGATTATAAAGAACAACAAAGATTTTTTTGATCAGAGCCTTGATGAGATAAAGCTTCTGAAGTTTATCAACAAGCATGATCCTGCTGACAAATTCCATCTTCTCCGACTGTATGATTACTTCTATTACAGAGTAAGTTGATCTATTATATGATGTGTTACTCAATCTTGGTTATTAAGTCGTCATTGTTTTAAAACAAACCCATTTAGGGAAAAAAATGTTTTGATTTTCTAATGTTACTGTTATTTACTTTCCCACGTTGTTGTACTTGTATGATATGTAGTAGGTCCATTTCCTTTTCCTTCTCCTACCAGGCACTTAATTTAGGGTGAGGGGCATATCATACTTGTACTCTTTCAATTAACTAACTTATTATGAGAGGTATATAAGTAATATAATTTATTCTCTATTTAATAATCACTATCAGAACTAATATCAAATAAACTCATGCATTAAATTATCTAAGAAAGTATAATCATCAGATAATTTTTTTTTAACTGAATCTAATTGCTTAATATCCATAATTCTACTTGTAGATCAATTCTCTATATTGAGTAACATGCTCTGATACCAATTATGGGATTAGAGGACTGTCATTACCCAAGGCTCTGATAACAATTGTAAAATATGAGATTCTGACCCAAGGGCTCTGATATGTCAAAGTACGCATGGTTAATTAGACCTAGGGTGGGGTGAATAATTTTAATGAATGCCAATTTCCCACTGACCTTTTAAAATATGGTTAATGTTTATTTAATTTCAATTAATTAGTTCGATTGGTGTTTCAAATGACATAAACACATATAACTCAAAATAAAGTAGAGCCATGAGATTTTTTACTTTGATGAGGCTTTTGAGACAGATAAGGGTTGAGTGTCAGGCGGAAATTGCTGAGCTTGCTTTATTGGAGGAAATTTCGTGGAGGCAGAAATCAAGGGCATTGTGGCTTAAGGAAGGGGACAGAAATACGAAATTCTTTCATCGGTTGGCGAATGCTCATATAAGGGGTAGCCATATTGGGAGAATTACGGTGGATGGGTTGCTTCTTTCCAAGGAGGAAGACATTTGTAGGAGTTTCCTCTTATTATCAGAGTTTGTTCATGGAGACAGAGGATTGGCGTCCTTTGCTAGGGGGATTGTATTTTGATTCTATTTCTGAGTTGGACGGTATCGGTCTGGAAAGGCCATTCTCTGAAGAGGAAGTTTTTAGGGCCTTGAAGAGTTGCAACGGGGACAAAGCCCCAGGTCCGGATGGGTTCTCTATGAGATTTCTTCTTGACAGTTGGGAGATGATGAGGGGGGAGGTTATGGGCACTTTCTCTGCTTTTCACTCACAGGGGCATTTTGAAAAGAGTTTGAATGCGACGTTTATTGCCCTCATTCCAAAGAAGGGGGGAGCGTCAGACGTCAAGGATTTTAGACCTATCAGTTTGGTGAGGAGCATTTATAAGTTGATTGCTAAGGTTCTGGCCTCGAGATTGAGGGAGGTGTTGGACTCATTTCAGATTCTCAGAATGCTTTTGTAGGAGGCTGTCAGATTCTTGATTCTGTCCTTATTGCTGGCAAGTGCGTGGATTCTAGACTCAATTATGGGGTGCCTGGTGTTCTTTGTAAATTGGACATAGAGAAGGCTTATGACCACGTTCGTTGGAGTTTCCTTATCTACCTTTTGGAGAGGATGGGGTTTGGAGAGAAATGGAGGAAATGGATTGAGTTTTGCATTTCTAGTGCTCGGTTTGCTTTCCTTGTGAATGGAGCTTCGATAGGCTTCTTTGGCAGTTCGAGAGGGCTAAGACAGGGGGATCCGTTGTCTCCTTTCCTTTTCCTTATTGTGATGGAGGCCTTTAGCAGAATGATGTCAAGGGTAGTTGACTTGGGTTTCTTGAGAGGCTTCAGGGTGGGCAGGGATGCTGCGAGTCAGTTGGCGAATTCCCATTTGATGTTTGCAGACAACACGCTGGTTTTTTGTGATGCGGATGTGTCTTAGATGAGATACTTGAGTCTGATTTGGTTTCAAGTCGTCTCTGGTTTGAAGGTTAATGTAGGAAAAAGTGTTCTATTGCCGGTTGGGGAGGTCCCTGATATTTCTTATTTGGCTCTTGTCTTGGGATGCAGCACTGGCTCTTTACCTATTTCTTATTTGGGTCTGCCTCTTGGGGCCTCATCCAAGAGTGTGGGAAGTTGGGATCCGGTGGTGGAGAGATATGAGAAACGACTGGCTGGTTGGAAGAAGCAGTACCTTTCCAAAGGGGGGAGGATCATTCTCTTGAAGAGCACTTTGTCGAGTCTTCCTACGTACCTCCTTTCTTTATTCCCGATTCCCTCATCATTGGCAGAAAGGATTGAGAGGCTGCAGAGAAATTTCTTATGGGGTGGTAAAGGGGAGTAGTTCAAGTATCATTTGGTGAATTGGGAGAGGGTTTGCACTCCAATTTGAAAAGGAGGATTGGGAATCAGGAGACTGGTGCCTTTTAACAAGGCCTTACTGGGAAAATGGCTTGGATATTTGGGGTGGAGAGGCACAAACTGTTAGAAATATGTCTAAAATTCATTTATGACATGGCAAGTGTGATGGTGAAGCTTCCAAAGGAAGCTTTGAAATTATTAGGCAGCAAGTGTCATTTGGCTTCCAAAGGAAGCTTTGAAATATACTTGGACACCAAGTATTTTTGGGCTATATATAGCCTTGCACACATTTGATGAAGGCATCTGAGAGGCATCCAAGAGTAAGACAATATTCGGATCAAAAAAGTATATTGGTTTTGTATATGTGAGAAAATCCTTTTGTGTGTACAATCTTCAAGAGAGAGTTGAAGTTTGTATTTGGGTGGGTTTTTCTCTTTGTGTAAACTATATACTATTTGGGGTATTTCTTGAGTGTTGAGTGAGTCTTCTTTGTTGGTGAGTGAGTGGAGTGAGAAGAGAGATTTTTGTGAGGAAGAACCAAAACGTTCTTCAGTTTATAATCTTCTTCTTTATAGTGATACGAATCATTATCGTCTGTGGGTGTAACCCTATTTGTGAGGGTGAAACACGTATAAATCCTTGTCTCGTTTGTGTGTGCCTATTTATTTTTTTTGTCATTTATTTTTCTCTTGTTCTCATAAGTTCCTATTCGATCCTTTTTACATAACAAACTGGTATCAGAGCTCGGGTTCGTGTATTGTGTACAGATACTGTTCACACATACTGTACTGTTCACAAATACTATTCGGGTACTGTTCACAAATACGGTACTATTCACCGAGTAATTTTTTGGGGAGTTTTTTGAGATGTCGACCAGATACGAGATTGAGAAATTTGATGGCAAGATTAGCTTCAGTCTTTGGCGCATTAAGATGCAGGCCCTGCTGACTCAACAAGGTTTAAAGAAGGTGTTGTTCGGGAAGGACAAGTTGCCAACAACTATGTCCGATGAAGACAAGGATGAGGTCGATGAAAAGGCGCATAGTGCAATTATTTTGAATCTAGCTGATGAGGTGCTGCGTGAAGTTATTGATGAAGACACGGTGGCAAAGTTGTGGCTGAAATTGGAGAGTTTGTATATGACGAAATCTCTCACCAACAAACTTTACCTGAAACAGAGACTCTACACCCTTCATATGAAGGAAGGTATGCCTCTTAAGGAGCATATTGATAATTTCAATTCTATTATTATGGATTTGAAAAATACTGATATTAAAATTGATGACGAGGATCAAGCCCTTATTTTGTTGTGTTCTTTGCCTCCTTTATATGAGCATTTTGTTACCACACTGCTCTATGGAAAAGACACTATTAGTATGGAAGATGTTAAATCCTCATTGAACTCTCAGGAGTTGAGGAAAAAGGTGTCTGAGAATATTGGAGATGAGCAGGCCGAGGGTCTATTTGTAAGAGGCAAAGGTGGGACAAAGGGTTCTGCTAGTAGGGGCAAATCTAGATCTCATAAAAATGTGGAATGTTACTACTGTCACGAGATAGGGCACATCATCAAGCACTGTCCCAAACTAAAGGCAAAGAATGGGAATGGCAAAGAGAAGGTTTAGGAAGCAGCTTCTTTGGCAACTGCTACAACGAGTGATTCAGAAAGTGACGATTATGTTCTTATGATAACCTTGTGTTTAGGTATGTCATTTAATGACAGTTGGATTCTTGATTCTAGTTGTTCCGTTCATATATGTTCCAGTAGGGATTATTTCTCTTCCTATAAAGAGGTGAAAGGAGGTTCGATTTTGACGGCGGTCAGGAAAGCTTTCAAAATTTTGGGAATTGGAATAGTCAAGATCAAGACGTACAATGGGTTGGTGAGAACATTGTCAGATGTGGGACATGTACCGGATCTGAAGATGAATCTTATTTCAATAGGTGTGCTAGACTCCAAAGTTTACAAGGTTGTAACAGAAGGTGGAGCAATGATGGTCGTGATGGATTCTCTTGTGGTGCTACAGGGCACCAAGGTTAAAAATTTGTATCTTCTCCAAGGGAATACAGTAATAGGTGGAGCTTCTACAGGGTCTTCTACAGTTAGCAGAAATCTGCGTTCGGGTCTTGGCAAAAGAAGAGTTAGAAAGAGGAGTTATGATTCTAGTTCTCAAAAGGGTAGTGAGGGGACTACACAACATGGTGGGAGAATGAAATCCGTTTTCAGATGGCAACCGAACAGCAGTCCTTACAGGGAGGCAGACCCATGAGGACAGGTGTGATATGGACTTGCAATAATCTTGGTGGCAATGAGATAGTCTATTTGAGTGCCATTAAGATGCGTGGGAGGCAAGTAGTTGGTCACAATAGAGATGCGAGGAAAAGTCAAGGACGTCGTATTCTCCACAAGGGTGAGAAGATGACTTTTCATTACCAGCCGGTGGTTTGTGGGCGGTTGGAGAAGGTTGCTAAAGGAGATGTCAAACTTGGAATTTCTGAGGGTGTCTTTGATAAACGCTTAGAGTTTGGCAAAAATACTGAAAGTATGCTTGTGGTTGCGCAAGACATGCATGGGTTGAACAATGAGAGCCCGAGGGTTAAGTTTGAGGATGACTCAAACTTAAGTAAAATTCTTAATTAATTTGTTTTGTGTTGGAGATGATGATGGCGTTATTTTTATTACTCACATTGTGTTGAAGGAAGACTCTTTATGATGTTGTCTTATCATTTCTGCTAAGGCGGAGAAATTTTGCCAAGGATGGAGTTTTGTGGCTCATTTGAAATTTTTGCCAAGGTGGAGAATTTTAGTCAAGGTGGAGATTTGTTAGAAATATGTCTAAAATTCATTTATGACATGGCAAGTGTGATGGTGAAGCTTCCAAATTAGCTTCCAAAGGAAGCTTTGAAATTCTTGGGCAGCAAGTGTCATTTGGCTTCCAAAGGAAGCTTTGAAATATACTTGGACACCAAGTATTTTTGGGCTATATATAGCCTTGCACACATTTGATGCAGGCATCCGAGAGGCATCCAAGAGTAAGACAATATTCGGATCAAGAGAGTATATTGGTTTTACATGTGTGAGAAAATCCTTTTGTGTGTATAATCTTCAAGAGAGAGTTAAAGTTTGTACTTGGGTGGGTTTTTCTCTTTGTGTAAACCATATACTATTTGGGGTATTTCTTGAGTGTTGAGTGAGTCTTCTTTGTTGGTGAGTGAGTGGTGTGAGAAGAGAGATTTTTGTGAGGAAGAACCAAAATGTTCTTCAGTTTGTAATCTTTTTCTTTATAGTGATACGAATCATCATCACCCGTGGACATAATCCTATTTGTGAGGGTAAAACACGTATAAATCCTTGTCTCGTTTGTGTGTGCCTATTTATTTTTCTTGTCATTTATTTTTCTCTTGTTCTCATAAACTCCTATTCGATCCTTTTTACATAACACAAACTATGGAGGAGGGTGATTGAGTAGGCATAGGGAGGCGCATGGAGGATGGTACTCCCATGAGGTGAGATTCCCATATGGGGTCTGAATTTGGAAACACATTCGGAAGGGTTGGGACGAATTCTCTAAGCACAGTACGTTTCGCGTTAGAAGTTTACGTTTTTGGGAGGACATTTGGTGTGGTGACCGGTCCCTTGCTGTCACTTTCCCTAGACTTTATCGGATTGCTACTGATAGTAATGCAATCAGCTATGAAAGAGAACAAATAAATCTGAAGAAGGGAAAAACAGAGAGCAAGATTAAGGTAACGAATATCTTAAACACCCACAACTCAATCCCAAAGAAAGGGAGAGGTAAAAAGCTGCTACAGCAGACTAAATATATTGATAATACGTAAAAGGCTGCTGAATACAACTTGGAAAACCCTTTTATAAGGCCCAAGGGATGCCCTAGCAAAGATTTAATCCTAACCCTTCTTATAAATATAATCTAACGGCTACTATTCTGTCCAGCAGAATAAAAGATGTTAAAATTGACAAAGCAGCCCTTAAGTGGTCACATGACTCACTTAATAGGCACGTGACTCATTATATAGAAGCGAAATGACAAAATATCCCAACTAAGGCTTAAGGAAAACATTAAACAGAAAATTAAGACAGATTTATGATTTAACTAAATGACTTAAACCTAGTAATCAATGCTGCCTCTATTAATGCGATCTGAGTCTAGTCTTCTTAGGATCTTCAACTGTTTGAAGAAAATCCTATTCCATCTGCACTGCATCAGATAGGCATACCATGGTGGTTGACTGCTATCATCTTGACTCTTGATAGTGGAAGAACGTCGTGGGATGTACGCTTCAAGAGACTGTTTCAGGATTGGGGAGATAGAGGATGCTTTAGGCTTTTTGGAGCTGTTATACCGTCAGGAGATAGCGGAGGAGGATTCTGATTTGTGCATTTGGAGTCCATCTACATATGGACGTTTTGATGTTCTGTCGTTTTATTGTTGTCTTGTGGATGCTCTTGGACCGTCGTTCCCATGGAGGGAAATTTGGCGTACAAGGGCTTCTCTCAAAGTAGCGTTTTTGCATGGACATCTATTTTGGGAATGATTTTGACCCAAGGCAATATCTAGAGAAGGTGGCAGATCGTGGTCAACTGGTGTTTTATGTGCAAAAATGACGAGGAAACGGTTGGCTTTAGTATTTGGGTTTGTTTGGGATTCACTGGATTATGCAACGGTGTACTAGAGCCTTGATTGAGGCTTCGAGAGGTTGTATTGTGGGGGCTCAAGTTCGAGATTCTTGGAGGGCTATTCCGTTGTGCATTTGGTGGTGTCTCAGGCTTGAAAGAAATCGGAGATCCTTTGAAGGAAAGGAAAACAATATTGGATCGTTGAAGTTCTCATTCTTAGCACCCTTTTTTGTTGGATTCTTGGGAGAAATTGTAAATCCTTGGAGGAGCTTGTAGAGTTTTTGAATTTTTTGAGGGTTTAGAGATCCTATTTGGCCTTGTGTTGTTTTTGAGGGACGTGTTCCCCTTTTGAACGCTTTTAATGAATTCTTACTCATCAAAAAAAAAAAAAAAAAAAAAAAAAAATAGGGGGGGGGGGGGGGGGGGGGGTGGGGGGTGGGGTGGGGTGGGAATCGCGAAACCTAAACCTCGTCCAAGCATTAACAAACTGCTATGAGAAGAAGTTTTACAACCTGGTACCAGATTTGCATTCTAGAATTCCCTATTTTTACCTCTTGACGCAAACTTTTGACAAACTCTCCACTTGATTCTTCAATCTGCTGTTCCATCAACAAATTTGCTCCTCACCAATCTTTCTTCTCCGTGGTTGTTAAATCCAGATCTTTAAATCACAAACTTGGTTGAATTGCTTTTATTTTGTTGTCTCTGATGTGCTTCTTGCTCTGAATTCCTCAATCACATATAGAGTATGAATCTGTGGTAAACCCTAGATTGAACTTCAAAGCTTTCTCTCTCGAAAAATGTAAATTCTCTCTCACTAGATTGTGTACAGACTCAATGCATAACCTTAGACTGATTACAACTCCATATTTATAGTCAATACAGGATTCATGTGTAAAACAGGAAATTAAATTCTTTTACAAATCTGTTTTGACGGAGTTACCAACAACAGGTTTCTGCGCAGGTCTATTGATAGAGTCTTCAATCGAGCTATTTTAAACTAAAATAATTATTTTGGGGAAATTGTTGATCAATCAAGATATACTGTTTATGTAAAAATTCCTAAATCTAAAAGTCATTTCAATTTTTTAAGAAATCTTGGGATCAAAACCCTAATTTTGGACGATTTGTTTGAAGATCATACTTAGGTAATAAATAGTCTCTATGATCTCAACCTACCTTCGCTTAGATATGTGATTGAGCTTGAGAGATTTCCAGTGTGTTTTATGCTGATCTTTATCTCCATCATGTTTTTGTGGTTGCAGCTTATGACACTTTGACGTACCTTCAACCAATATTTTGAGTAGAATTTTGGAACTCATGACTCAATCTCTTAACAAAACTGAAGATATTCCATTACATTTATAAATGCTTATGTTCATCTAATGAGAGATAAAGAATGTATACAGAGACTTATCATGCACAAATTGTGCACTTAATCCAAGTGAAAACCTAATAATGAATGAGAGAGGATTTAGAAGAATGATTGAAACTCAAAAGAAACACGTATCAATCAAACTAGAGAGTAATCCCCCTTAATTGTAAACAGCATGACTCAAAAACTCAGTTCTTTTTAATGAATGGAAAGCAAAACTCAAGGATGATATTTTGCAATCCTTAAAAGTTCAAATTGTTTTCAAGAAAAAAGTTCATGTCATAAGCAACTAGTTTTTTCAGCACAAAATTAAATTGAAAGTTCATCACGTATACTTGTCTTTAAGGTAAAGTTTATCTCAGTTAACAACATTAGTAAATTTTTATTAAGGCTCCTTTGGGTATCAAATGAAGTAATTGTTAAGCGGTTTTGGTCTTCATCCATTAGTGTGACTTCATGCACATGATGATTGTAAGGTTTCTCCATTATATGAATATAGAGCAAAACCATTTTTGAAAGAAATTCAAGTGAACATATATCAATGCATACCTTTGAATTCTTTTCTTAATTATTTGATCTTGGCAGCTTTAACACTATTGGGGCAGCCATCTCTTTCTCACGACATTTCTTATTTTTTTTATGCATAATTACTTGTATTGGTACTTTTGACATATTCCATAGGTACCTATTTCCAGATGTTAGATTTAGCATCAACATTGATTGTACTTTTTTATTCTTTTCAAAGTGGTACTTCCCCCGCCTCTATTTTATTAATTTTTTCATTTTTTTTCAGTTGCAAAATTTTCACAACCCCCCCCCCGTGGCCCTCTTTTTTTTTTTTTGGTCATTCTATTCTTGTACTGGCGTTAGTTCAAGACTGTCAAATTATGTACACCAAAATAGTGATAGTTTTCTGAAGTGTGACTAATAACTTGTATGAATCTTCCACTAACTCAAAGTAAGTGAAATAGATTCTGTTTAAACAATATATGACCAATTACCGATTTGGTCTCAATCATCCATGTTTGGTAACTTTAGTTTAGGGTTCCAAAAATTATTTGAAATCAATTAAATTTTTTAATTACATCCATAAACACAGACAAGAGACTTGAGACCCCCCAAAAAATAAATAAGTAAAGACTCATGATAAGTTTCCAGCAAATGGCAAATACATCCTTACTGACTTTCCTTTACACATTACAGGAGCATTTGTTAATTGTATGTGAACTTCTGAAGGCAAATTTATATGAATTTCATAAATTTAATAGAGAATCTGGAGGGGAGGTCTACTTCACAATGCCAAGATTGCAGGTTTGTTGTGTGCCAATCTTTAAAGGCTTTTAATACCATTGAGATGCTGGTTAAGGACTTGCTTTTAAATTGATCTGTGCAGTCAATTACTATTCAGTGTTTGGAGGCACTTCAATTCTTGCACGGTCTTGGCCTTATACATTGTGATTTGAAGCCGGAAAATATATTGGTGAAAAGTTACAGTAGATGTGAAGTGAAGGTCATTGATCTTGGAAGTAGTTGTTTTCAAACAGATCATCTCTGCTCATATGTTCAATCTAGGTCTTATCGTGCACCTGAAGTTATCTTGGGACTTCCATATGATAAAAAGATTGATATCTGGTCACTTGGCTGCATTCTCGCAGAGCTTTGTACTGGCAATGTAAGTTATTTCCTTCCACAACTATTTATATATTTATTATTTTAACTTTTTTTGCATGGTGCATGAGCTGTAACCTGTATTTGAAGTTTTCTTTTCCTTTTTGCTATGTAAGATGCATCAGAAGTTATTATTGTGCATCGATTTTGTTTTTCCTTACATTATTTATATTGCTAACGTATCATGAAGCTTATCAGCTGCAAAATTTAGCAAAGGACCTATTAATGCAATACAAAAATAAACGTGTGAAAAAATCATAAAAGGGGTTAACCCATTGTGGTCCTGTTAATCAAGGGAATTTCCAGGGCATCATTCTTCTGACCCTTTTTACCAGTACTGCATTTTTAGTAATTTGGTTTTCTAAATTCTTTGCAGAGGTAGTCAATCACCAAATGTGAAAGATTAGATTCTTCATGATACTGTTATTTTTGCTATGCCCTTTCATATTTAGCCACTGAGCAAGTCTGTCAATGTAAAATGCAGAAATGTGAAAGCCTTACAACCCGGTAGCAATGATTCTTTGTTGAAATTAGAGTGGGACTGGTTCATCTGTTGGTAATGAAATTATATATGAAGGTACAAAAGCTATTAGATTACATACGTTCAATAGTCAGTTTGCTCTGTCGTATTAAAATGATAAAAATATTTCAAAGAAAAAGAAAAAATAAAAAGCAAAATCAGAAGACACCTCAACACTTTGGGACGATATCCAAAAATTTTATACTAAAAGTACTTCCTTCATCCCTTTTTAACATAATGAATCTGTCCACTCATGACACCTTGTCTTAATCCTGTATTATTAAAGCCTGTAAAATCTTGAGGTTTAAACTCCTCTCTACCCACTCCAGATGAAGTTATTTTGTTGTTTTCTCAAATTTATCATTCAAACTGAGACTGCCATGGATAATAGAATTTATGGCAAAGGCACCCGTCTTTGTCAGCAGGTTACTTTGCCTAATCAACATGTTTGTTTTCTCTGAAAAATAATTATGATTTTGTTTTCTTTTATTTTTATTTTTCTGGTAAGTAAGAAAATTTTAAAAACAAACCATTATACGAGTATAGAGAGTGGCATATCTCCCATTTACAATCAGAGTAAGCAGATACGATACCGGAACAGGTTCATCTTCGAAGTATTTTTCCCTTCACTGAAACAAAACAGCTTAACATTAAAGCAAAGGGGTTCTAAGGGCAACACAAAAGAGGATAAAGGAAGCCCAAATCTCGAAGAGAGGCTGAAGCATAATAGCCTCGATCTCCTGTAATATCCACTCCACCCAGAAGAGCCTACCTCTTTGGATGGGTGGATGCACAGCTTCATCTTTAGCTAAGCCCTCCCTCCTATCTCCCAAATTGGTCCAACCCAGATGCCCATGTAGAGAAAAGCAAGCGATAAACTCAAAAAAGTAAATTGGGCCACCGTTGTGGGACACCAGTAGAAGGTGGCCATAATATCTCTCATTTTCCCTGAAATAGCATGAGCTGTAAGAAATTAGGAATTTGTACAAGATAATTAATTATACTTGTTATTTGTTTGTTTTTCTAGCAACCCTAAATTATACATTATTTAATTTTAGTCACTTCTCATTGCCTTGACTTTTCTTCCCATATTGGGCTCTAATCTTCCAATTTCTCTTTGGCTCCCTCTTTTGTTTCCGAAACCACTTGACTTGATGCTGGTTGCTTGTTATGATACTGAAATTGGGGATTTAGATGATAACCTAATAAAAGTAAAAGTCTTTAGTAACACGCAATTAGGAAATTCCATAAATCATAAACTTTGAGTTGTTAAAAGTTTTAACTGAGAAGAAATTATAATTTTAAAAGATTATAGTGCGTCAACCGGTTATCTTCCAATAATCCTTTTGATATCAGAAGTCCTCTTTGATATGGAACTTGAGATGATACGTGGCCTCAGAAATGAAACCCATCGTGGGTTTCTCTTCCCCATCAACCAACCTAAGGAAATGTTATTTGGCCACTATTTACTTGTCAATTTTAAACTCACCCGTTGATAAATTTCAGGTGAAGAGCAGATGGAGGGAAAGATTCCTCAATCTCATCCTTGAAGTTGCTATGTGGAGCTCGGAACCCGCTTTGTCTTGTGCATACTAGCATGTCATAGCTTTTGGTGTAAATTGATGTTATGCATGAAGTTATGTCTACATGACAAGAAATTGTGGCGACCTATGTGGGCGGGTCCGATGAATTGGCAGGCTACCATACTTGGCGAGCTATAGGTGCACAATCCCACATTGTCTGGGTGTGGAAAAGGTAAGTGTTATATGTTGATTCAACACCCTTCTATGACACAACGCGTTTTAAAGCCATGATGGTAGTGAACCTAGCGGAACTCCTGAGTTAAGCGTGCTTAACTTGGAGTAGTACCGGGATGGGTGACCTCCTGGGAAGTTTATGGTCCGGGGAAGCAAAAAGCGGACAATATTATGTTTGGATAGGGTGGGGGTTGTTAAAAATGGTATCAGAGCTTGACCCAGCTGGAAGTGTGCCAGCGGGAACGTCAGTCCTTGAAGGGGGGTGGAATTGTGTGGCTCGGTGGGCGGGAGCAGGCTGTAAGAGGCAAGGTGTAACAGTTCTCACCCTACCCGACACAATATTATCTGCTTTTGGCTCCCCCGAACTAGAGACTTTCCGCGAAGTCACCCATCCTAGTATTACTCCAGGTTAAGCACGCTTAACTCTGGAGTTCTGATAGGTTCACGACCGTCACTGCTTTAAAACGCGTTATGACATAGAAGGGTTATGAACTTAAATATAGCACTTCACTTTTTCGCACCCAGTCGATGTGGGAATTGTGAGCACACGTAGCTTGCACTAGAGCCTTGCCTCTTATAGGCCTCCTCCCGCCCATCGAGCCTCATAATTCCACCCCCCTTGGGAGCCCGACGTCTCCGTCGGCACACTTTCGATTGGGTCAAGCGCTTATACCATTTGTAACGGCTCTCACTCTAACCGATACAATATTGTTCGCTTTTGTCTCTCTCGAACCAGAGACTTCCCAGGAGGTCACCTATCTTGGTACTAGTCCAGGTTAAGCACGCTTAACTCCAGATTTCTAATAGGTTCACGACCATCACGGCTTTAAAATGCGTTGTGATATAAAAGGGTTATGAACCTACATATAGCATTTCACCACACCTAGGCGATGTGGGAATTGTGAGCACACGTAGCTCGCACCAGAGCCTTGCTTCTCAGAGGCCTGCTCCCACCCACCGAGCTTCACACAAGGCTCTGGTGCGAGCTATGTATGCTCACAATTCCCCACATCGCTTGGGTGTGGAAAAGTGAAGTGCTATATGTAGGTTCATTACCTTTCTATGACATAATGTGTTTTAAAGCCGTGTTGGCTGTGAACCCATCAGAACTCCGTAGGTAAGCGTGCTTAACATAGAGTAGTACTTAGGATGGGTGACCCTCTGGCGGGGGAGCCAAAAGTGGACGATATTGTGTTTGGATAGGGTGAGGGTTGTTACAAATGGTATCAGAGCCTGACCCAAATGGAAGTGTGGCCAACGGGGACTTTGGGCCCCAAAGGGGGGGTGATTGTGGCGACCTATGTGGGTGGGTGGGCGTGGGCCGGTGCGAGGCAATCAATGGCGGATCCAGGGGGGGGGGGGGGGGCTTGGGTGGGTTTGAGCCCCCCCCCCCCCCCCCCCACCAAAATTTATTTTATTTTATTTTAGTATAGGTATATTTAGCCCAATGTTTTAAAAAAGAAAAAAATTAGTAGTAGTATTAGCTCCCCCAATTTAACCCATCCAAACAAGCCCAATATCTAAGCCACAATTTTAAAACAAAGGCCAAACCAAATAGGTCCAAGCCAAACAAGTCCTAAACATTCACTAAGCCAAAGCACAGAGAACTTCTAAATTCCTATTCTTGCACAAATCAGAGAACTCACTCCTTCTCTCCCCCTAAAGTCTAACCCTAATTCCTCTAAAATTTTCCAACTCTTTAATCTTTCGATCCCCAATTTCCCTTGTTTAATATTAGCCCCCCTATTAACAATTCTTTGATTCGCCCCTGGAGGCAATGGCAGGCTACCAAACTGGGCGAGCTACAGGTGCACAATCCCACATCGCGTAGTTAAGGAGAAGGCAAGTGCTATATGTTAATTCAACACCCTTTTACGACACTACGTTTTAAAGCCGTGATGGCTGTGAACCTATCGGAACTCTGGAGTTGAGTGGGCTTAACCTAGAGTAGTACTAGGATGGGTGACCTTTTGGGAAGTCTCTGGTCCGGGGGAGCCAAAAGCGGACAATATTGTGTCTGGATAGGGTGAGGGTTGTTACACCCAAAAGGTATTTGAACTTGAGACAGAGGTGATGGATTGAGTATATGGAAGACTACGATTTTATTTTGTAGTATCATCCGGGGAGCCAAAAACGGACAATATTGTGTCTGGGTAGGGTGGGGGTTGTTACAATTTTAATCAGTGTTCTTGCACTATCAATATTTCATTGGCCTTCTTCCAAAATTCCCTGCCAATGATAATATTCTTAACAGTATATTTATTATGGGTCTTTGACTTCCCCCCACCTAGAATTGTTTCATAAGATTAGTAACTAGTAAAATAGAAACAAGAGTAAAAATGTATTTATTTATTTATTTTTTTTTCACATACATAAAAAGATTTAGGATCATAATCCTTACTTGGAAATTTTCCATGACAACGTAAACACTGCCCTCAACATGACAATGTTCTTGAAGGCATTGAAACTGGTGGCAAAACGAGTGATGTTTGGAAGAAGCAACTCTCTCTCATTGGTGAATGTCCTCATAAAGTTGTGGACCCAACCATGATCATAAATAAAATGTGATTTGCTGCACCTGATCAAAGACAATGGCAAGATTGACTTTCTTCAACATGTCACGTAGCATGAGATTGATTGTGTGATCTGCACAACCTGTCCCATATAAATGCTCTCTCTTCCTCATCAAAGTTCTCCCAGCAACTTTTATTGCACGCTCATTATCCA